CACATAGTTACCCTGTTTCTTGTCCACGTGGCTGAGAGTGGTGTGTAGGACGTGGGCGATGGCATCCTCTGTGGATGCATGATCCTGTCTGACGCTCTCTTCACCCACAACACTGTTCACATCAGGATGCCCTACAGCTTGAACCCACCTCCACTGCTCCTGGCCCTGCTTCCTTTCCAACTGCTCTCCATCATCGCAGCAGCGCTCCCGGTGGCAGTGCCTACATTTAGATTACTGATGTTGTTCCTCTCTTCAAGCACAGTCTCCACCAGCACGCTGTTGGCCAACAGCACTGAGGTCTTAAATGCACTACATGGACAAAAGCATTGGGCCAAACCACTTAATCTTTAAATGCAGGTGTTTTCAGGCACAGGTGTATAAACTCACTCGCACAGACACGTGAGAGGCGTTTGTAAAAGACTGGGCCGTTCCTCCGAGCTCACCGAATCAGACTCAGCCTGGCTAGTGTTAGCACAGGAACAGCTCCTGTAGCTTAATGTGCAGGACTGACGGGGACCAGAGGTGCTCTGACAGAAACTATGAATGAGCTCAAACAGGTCTAATGAAGGCCGCAGCATCGCTTTCTCGTGAAGCGTGAGTCTGTGCACAGGCTAATGAGAAACACTGAGAGTCAGGGCAGACGTGTGTTTCTACACGTATGACCCCGTTCACAGGCTGCGTTCACATTTTATTACATGCAGCTGTGCACAGACCGCAGAGCTATAATGATGATGGTTAAACTAGGTGTTTCTATGGAAACGCCAGCCGAGCACTGAGGAGGAAGCAGGACGAGTGGAAACACGGAGGCGGTCAGAGCTGGTTTGTTACAGGCTGAGCGTGTGTGGGAAACACGTGTGTGATGTCATAAATGTTCCACGCTTTCAAAGAGAAACAGCGCAGAAAAGCTCCGGCTCCACGTTCCTGCCCCGAGCCGCAGAAACGCTTTTATTATGTTTGTGTGTTTTATATCTGAACTCTGGTATACAGCAGCAAACGTCCACAGCAGGGTGTTTGTGGCTTTGAAGGAAAACGGTGTCCATCTGCAGTCACGAGCAGCACATGTTTATACAGACAGATTGAGACTACAGAGGCTTTTATTTTGTAGGATCACAGAAATGCTTCAGGCAATAATTTTACCTTTATGTTGAAAATCAGTTCTTGACATGTTCTTCTTCAATTATAGTGATAATAAACCCCCCTCATTCAGCCATGGGTGAAAAACCTGAAGTCAAAAATGTGTTTTTATTATTTATGAGGCTCAGTAAGAGTTCTTAGCCTTGGAAAAGCTCCCCGAGCTTTTTCCAGACGGTCGATGCCCTTCATGGACAAACCCCTCGCCTCATGGAAACGCTGCATCGAGAGTGCTGAAGCGAATATCTGACCAACAATAAGCTGGAGCTGCTCTTTCTTGAGTTCATATTTGGAACTTTGATTTCTGTTTTGGGGTTTGTGGGTCCTTTTTTGATCAGCTGTAAAACAGCCTGTTTGTTGTTTCCAAGAAAAGCTGTTTTGTTTCACTTTTGATCGGGACTGTGTGTCCTCGCAGTTCATTGGTCATTTAGAAGACACTCTCTTGAAAAGCTCTCGCAATCTTAAGATAAGATAACCTTTATTAGTCCCACACGTGGGAAATTATTGTTAAAGCAGTGGACAGTTGCATAGACAAATTAGAGAAAAACACTGGAATAAGATGTCAATAAGACTGTACACAATAGAATAGAATAAAATACTATAGACAATCAAATAAAATAGAATACAAATGCTATATATAATATGAGTATAATACAACGATGCTAGAAAAGAGTATTGTGCTTAGTGTTATTGCACATATGTGGATGTGTTTGATCAGCTGAAGTCTTTGTTGTGGAGTCTGACAGCCATGGGGAGACCTGTGAAATGTCTCCGTCCCACACTGTGGGTGCAGCAGCCACTGAAGCAGCTGCTCAGTGCTGTCAGAGTCTCCTGCATGGGCTGGGAGATGTTGTCCATCAGGGGTGACAGCTCCGTTCTCCTGTCAAAGCTTGGCTGAATTGTGTTAAATCGTTAGAGATGTATCTAAACAGAGACATGGCTGTCATATCTGTGCTCCGTCACCCTCAGCAGCTCTGTGATTATCTGATAATCATTCGATTATCAGCACCTGGCTGCTAGCGTTGACTTTGTCAGCTCACCCAGTGTGGACATATGTGTCTGTATGTGTGGCTCCCCTGAAGTCACTGAGGGCGGTGAAAAGATCGATTTGAATTCTGATTAATTTGTAAAATGCAGCCAATTATCTTCTGTCTTTGTGTTAAATATTGCACTAAGCTGTGAAGTGTAATGGGTCGTACGCTGCTTGCGCTGCTGTGTCGCCGCTGTTCAGGGCTGGATGGTCTCATTTATGTGCAGCAACAAGCACAACATACAGCAAGTATAAGGTGTTAAAACTGTGTTTGAATAAATCTGTTGTTACTGTCCTCCCAGCTGACAGTCTTTTTGAGTGTTCAGTCTTTGGCAGGTGGAGAAAAAGCAGAAAAACACATTTCGGTTGGCTTGAGACTCGCACACAGTCGGCTCTGTGTTCCTGTTTATGGAGTTTCCTCAGCGGTGACCTCACTTCCTTCCTGTCAGCCTTCATTTCCTGACCAGCGGCTGGTTTCATACAGACCACTTACACACACAGCAATGTTTCCATCACTTCAGAGCAAATCTCAGTGAAGTACTAACTGTAACTGTCATGATTTACGTTACAGGGACCTAAAGGTTCTGGGCCCAGGCAGACCAGAACCCACAAGGTGACTGTGTGTCCCCATAAAGCAGTGAAACAGGAACAGTCACACACCCACAGACATGTTTTCCTTTTCTTTATAAATGCTCTCTGTGTTCAAGTGTCCACACAAACTCTGCCGTTTCAGTGACGCGAGTCACCGAGACAAACCAGCGCGGCTCTCGGGGTTTTCTTTTTTCCTGGGTGGGGAGTCGGGATCAGGCGTGGGGTGGTGACACACTACAAAAGACATTTACTTCAGCAGCAAACATACCTTACATCAGGCTCTGCTAACAGATGGGTTGCAGTTGTAGATTATCCCTCGTGTCATACACATTCAGGTAACTAACATGTGATGAACACACAGAAAGTGAGCCAGTTATATCCAGTTGTTTATCATTATAATTATATCGGTGTTCCACTTATCCTCGATAAAGAGGATGTGACAGATGTTACAAAGCAGAAGAGGATTCTGGGATATCGAGCCGTTTGCATCACCAGCAGTGAGTCAGACTCGTTCTCAGTGACTGTGCACACTATTCGCTGTTTTCAGGATCACAGCCCAGCAGCTGAGAATCAGCACCATGTCTATAATAACATTATTTATAATAGCATCATTTTGAAGTGTGAATCTTGCAAAGTAGGAAGCGGGAGGTTCAAACACAAAGCCCAGATTGTGGAACTATTGGGAGTTTATTTAGCAGCACAGAACATTTCACTGTAAGGCGAACCTTGACTTCAGACAGGGTTGAAGGTTCAACTCTGACAGAAAACACTGAAAGTTGGAGGAAATGTGTTACAAACCTTAAAAACGCATTTCTAAAATAAAACCCTTTGATTCAAAATATCCAACGTTGAAATCTCTGACAGTTCTGGCTCACAAACACTTTTTTGTATCAAACTTGAATGTTTGCGTGTCGTTCTGAGGACGCACAGAACCTGCTGTTCATTTTACATCATTGTGCTTTTGTCCTAATACTCTTAATTTTAAGTTCTACAAACCAGGTTGTAACTGTGGGAAATGTTTCAGTTAAAATCACAAACGAAGTCATGTATCTGAGGGGACACTTGTTCTTTCCTGGCTCATACTGCAACAGCCCTCAGTTTAAACTTAAAGCATAAAGATCTTGGACCCACTAACACTGTTCACCACACAAACTGTCAATAAAGTTAGAAGTCTTGAAGTGCCGGCGATTCACTCAGGAAGCCCAAATGCTGACACAGTGCATAAGATCCTGCTGGATGTCAGAGAAACACGTACGTGACTCTGCAGCGCCACCTGGAGTCTCACCTGGACAGGCTGTCATCATACCTGCGGGGAAATCAATATGTCTCAATATTTCTTGTGTTCAGCTGAGGTTGTTCCTGTTTTTAATTCATTTATGAGGAAATATGTTTTAAAACATACGTCTAATCTGTCAGCTTTGAACAAATAAGTAACGATGTCACTCACTGCTTGACACAGTCTGGGATCTGAACATGCTCAGTGGGGATGACGTTAGAAAGTTCCTTTAAGCTGCTGATGAACTGAAGTTTCCTGCTGAACTTGGTGCTGAGGATGAAATAAAAAGACAGTTTGAGTTTTAGTCATTCAGATATGACCACTTCCTGTCCAAGAAAACAGCATGATGGGGTTTATAAGCTTTTACTAGCAAAACAATGATCTGTGTCTGTATCAGACGGGTGGTGATGAAGAAAAGATTGTGCACCTGATGAAGGGCTTGATGATGGTGATGAGAGCTTTAATGTACCAGGTGGGATGAACCACATAGAAACCCTTCAAGTTCTTCCTCAACCTGCAGGCAGAAAATCACCAAAAGAATCATAAAGAAACACTGAATTAGGGACTTGGAATAAACCAGCGGTCTCCAACCTTTTTTGCGCCACGGACCGGTTTATGCCCGACAATATTTTCACAGACCGGCCTTTAAGGTGTCGCGAATAAATACAACAAAATAAAACCAGTACCAGTACCGAAAAAAAGAAGATTTATTCATAACACACATGAAAAGACCCAGGAAAACCGAGTTAACGATCAAAACGATAACAAAATAACGCTGAAAACCGATAAAACCCCTGAAAACCACACATTTCACACCTGAGCCTCAACTCTCGAGGTCCGGGACCGGTCCGAGGCCCGGGGGTTGGGGACCGCTGGAATAAACCAACCATCCAACCAACATCCAATCATCCATCCAGCCATGGTCTCCCATTTATCCATTTCTGGGCCATGGATGTTAGGGTTAAGGGTCAAACAATGAAATACAATTTGTGAAGTAAAAGACAAAAAAAAAGTTAAAAGACTGAAAACAGGTGAATGAAGGAGGAAATAGATTAAAAATTATGCCTGGCACACCTGAAAATCACCTGAAAATCAGTTCATGACATGAAGGCGATGTCCTCCAGATATTCATAATAATAATAAACCCCTCTCCTTCAGCCACGAGTGAAAAAACTGGATCTAAAACTGTGTTTTTATTATTTATTAGGCTGAGTAAGCATTCTTAGCAATGAAAAAGATCCCTGAGCTTTGGACACATCAGTGCAATAAAGCTTGAATATGTGCCCATTGATAAAGTCCTGATCAAAAGTTTAAGACCACGTGAAAAATGGCAAAAACTCCTATTTTGCATCGTTGGATCTTAACAAGGTTCCAAGTAGAGCTTCAACATGCAACAAGAAGAAATGGGAGTGAGACAAAACACGCAACAGAAACTGGGAAGTGTAAAGGATGAATAACAGCTCGCCCTGCCACCACCACAACCCGGCTTTGGATAAGCAGACGATAACAGATGGACGGATGGATGTTCGGACCTGCTTTTTCTTACCTGCGGTCGATGGTGGTGTAGCATTCTCTGAGCCAACTGATTCCTGGCAGTTTGTCCTTCTGACCTCCAGCACAGAGATACACGATCACATAGTTTTCCGCCACCATCAGCTCCAGAGTGCCCACTACGAACCTGATACATACAGAGAGGCAGTGGTGAGGCAGTCGATCGCAAAAGCTCTGAACTGATCTGCCGCATTGCCACTGGTCAATTATCTGACAGCTGAACCAGAGCCAGTTCCCCTTCAGCACCATCACATCCACAAAGACTCTTACTGGTTTTACACTGGAACCCGTAGTGGGTCTGTGCACTAAGACAAATTCAGCCTTTTGATCCGTCTTTTTCTTCGCCACGACTTTGAGTCTGATTCTCACTGTGGGATAGGTAAGAGCAGTGACTCAGAGGTGAAGGTCAGGGGTCAGAGGCCAATGTGTGTTCATTACCTGAACAGATTATCCATCACATACTGGTAGTTCTCCAGACAGTTTTCTGGCAGGTAACAGGAGGAAAACACGATGATGTCATTCATACCATCTCCATAGTAACCTGGATTGCCAACAGGTGTTAAAAGTGTGAGGGGGCATAAGATAAACAGGTAAATCAGTGCACAGGTAGCTAGCAGTACCTCCATGAGACAGCACCCTGAGGAACGGCTCCAGGACGCTCATATTGACCCGGCTCTCCTGCGGAGGGTCACCTGTAGTGAAACAACGCCACCTGGTGCCATGGCTGTCCACCACATCCTCCCTTTCCAGAAAACCCAGTCCACTCTGGTCTGTTTCCATCAGGCAACCAGTTTGTGGGTCAGACCTGGAGCTGTGACCTCTGTGGTGGCTGGAGGCAACACCAAGACGCCGCAGGTCATCTGAGAAACAATCAGGTAAGAAGATAAACAGCTGTTCGCAAACCTTGGCCTGTATGACCTCTCTATGACCGCTCACCTTCCAGGTCCAGGTCATACATTGGGAAGGGCAGCGATTCGCTGTCTGAGGGTGTCTCTATAGCATCTAGATCAAAGTCAAGTGCTTGGTCGTCTTCATCTTCAGGGGAGGGGGAAAGGAAGACAGAAGGCAGGTCATCAGAGACCATGGACCCGCTGCGACCTGCAACCCAACACCAAAGAGCTGAAACGAAATGAAACGAAAACTGTGTAGTGTTAAAGAGAATTCCCAGCTATTGTTTCGTTACCTAATGACAGGCTGAGAGTCGGAGCCACCAGGACTTTTTTCTTTGCTTGCGGCAGGCTGGTCAAAGCTAGAGTGCTGGGAGGAGCTGCAGAAAGAGAGAACACGCTCAACAGTGACATACCTGCTGAATGTTTCTGTTTACCAATGACAGCCACCCAACAATGAGGGCCTGTTTGGATTTTTATTTTCATTTTTTTAAAGCAAGTAAGCGCAAACATATTAGTTTTTGAAGGAAAAAAAGCCTAAAAGCTGCAGATTCTGCCTGCCTCGACTCAGCCACATGAGATCACAGAGCAGCACATGCTGAGGTACATAGTGTGCAGTGATTCCCAACTTTTTGCAGAGTCAAGCCCAACAGACCTCCTAAGTTCACGTGGCCTTCAGATTAGCTCAAGAACAGCACGTAGAGAGCTTCATCAAAAAGGGTTTCCAAGGATGAACAGCTGCATCCGAGTCTTACATCAGCAAGCACCATCTAAAGCCTCGGATGCAGGGGTGTAAAGGATGCTGCCACTGGACTGTAAAGGAGTGGAGACGTGCTCTCTGGAGTGACCAATCACGTTTCTCCATCTGGGACTGTGATGCATGAATCTGACTGCACTGTGCCAAGTGTAAAGTTTGGTGGGGGCGGGGGGGAATCAGACAGCATCACTGTCTGAGCTCACAAATGCGCTTCTGAAAGATGTGGTCAAAGGCTACGTTCACACTGCAGGCGAAAGCTCATCAAATCCGACTTTTCTGACCCTGTGCGACCCATCTATCCAATCATGGTGTGACAGTGTGAACGGCGCAAATCCGATCTGGGTCACTTTCATATGTGGTCCTGAATCCGATACATATCCGATGTTTCAGAAAGCGACTGCTGTTTGATGGTCAGGTCGCATTAAATACGTCTCTTAAGTCTGACACAAGACAGACGCCAATTATCAGCGCCGGAGAAGACGTCACGAATGCTTCCTGTCCATCCAGTGAAACTGTTGGGAACAACATTTTATTTGTACTGCAGCTATCCTTTGAAGCACCGCTCCTCTAAAACAGCAATAAGTTTGCTCTGGGTCCAAACGGAGCGCGTTGTGTATGACGTCTTCTTTTGCGCATGCGGCCGCTTTGAGGGTTCACAAAAGAGCGCGTTTGCTGTCGCATTTTGTTTGTAGTGTGAACACGCAGACAAAAAAATCGGATGTGATCAAAAATCGGAGTTGAGCATTAAGACCTGCAGAGTGAACGTAGCCTGAAACTTCCAGAAACACTCTGAAGCTGTTACAGCTGCAAAGGGGGCCGACGTCGTATTACAGCCCATGGACTGCAAGTTTCACTCAGGTTCACACGCATCTGTGAATATATACATAGATAACAAAATAATGTCTTTATTATTAATTATTATTATTTTGTATATAATTTAATATGTATTTTAAATTTTCATTTGTCTTTTTAAAGGATTACTTTACAAATATAAATTGATCTTAATTTGCCTTTCTTTTCTCGAGGCAGTGATTGAGCAGGAACAGGACCCGTCCTTCGGTAGTAACTGTTGCTCGTATTCAGCCACAGTAGTTTTTTCACCCCGCGGGGTGATAAGCTACTGTAAATGTCTGTCATTATCGCTGCCACAAAAGCTGCTTGGCCATGACTGTTTGCACAGCTCAGCATAGCTCAAAGTCAAACCATGAGCTGTAGCTGGCTACGTTTCACTGCCTTGAGCCTCATGTTTGCTTCCTTCTCCTATTTTTGTTCCTTGCTCTCTTCCTTGCATCCCTTATCTCCTTATTGCTCTTTCCTGTCATGCTTAGTTGGACTACCTAAGGGAGGATGAGTCCCGGTGACAGTTTGATGGGTGATATGGGCAGCCTTTCTTTGTTCTGTGGTTAGAGGATGGTGTTTAAGGAGGGAGAGAATAGGAGCTCCAAACAGAGGAACCAGGTACCAGGCAGCAACAAGGCCAAAGTGTTGGGGCCTGGATCTAGGCGCCCAGGGCTCATGTATCTTTGTATACATGTATATTTTTCTGTGTGTGGTGTTTTGTTTTCTCTGCTTTTTCCCCTCGTCTCTCCGTGTGTGCTCCCGGATGATTTGGGTCGCCTGAGGGATCGCATCCCCGGAAGTGTTTGTGCGCTAGAGGCAGCCACAGCAGCTGCAGCAGATCGTCAAGGGAGCTGTATTTAAGAGTGTGGCTGAGCTCTGGTCGGCGCTGGATCCTTGAGTCAAAACTCATTAGTCCAGCCGTGGACTTTTGTATGAGAAAACCGTCACGACTGTAGATATCCCGCTAACCTGAGTGTGTTTGTGTGTTACCAGGAATCGGGGTGTTTTTGGAGTCACGGTGTGGGAATGGGAGTTTGGGGGTTGCCCCTTTTCTCACCTTGCATGGAGTTGTGCACTGTGTGGGATTCAGGGAGAATCGCCAAGTTATGTTTTTCCTACTTTTACTGCTACTCCACAGTCTGCCATCGCAGCTCGTGACACAGAGTTCTGCAGCTTTTCTTCACACTCTGCTATCGAGTTAAATGACACGGATATAAAACACAGAATAACTGGCAGGAACTGAAAAGTTATTTGGAGCTGTGCATGGTTAAGAGAAAAAGGCTGAAAGCTGTGTTAAACCAGCATTGTTACCAAAACATGTACATGCTTAACATTCAAAGACCAGTGAAAACGCTTGTTATACTGGGAGGAAGTGATTGGCCCATAAGTCTTAGAGCTGTATGGTTTGTAGACTTTGAACTTGGGTTTCTATTAATCAGCGGAATTCATTGTATGGAGGTTTGCCTTCAGTGTAAAGAAAAACGAAACGACTGCAAAGCATTTGCTCATTTTCTGTGTAGTTAGATATTTTATTCCTGCCAACTGTTGAACAGGCGCGACAGGCAGCTACGCGAGTCAGCGGCGTCCTCTCCACACTCCAGGCCAGCTGGTGGCAGTAATGCACCACCAAAAAACACAAAGAAGAAGTTATGCGCTCCTGCAGCGGCTAAGTTACCGTCTTTGGAGCTCGCTCTTGCTAACAGTGATGACTTGGTGGTGCACAGGGGAGCAGATTCCAGTCCAGCTCTGGTCTGGTTCTGATCTTTTTACTGGGCACGTCGGGGCATTGCTTTGGTTTATGAACAATATCGTATCCTGTGTGATTGTTGTTGGTTCCCTCCACCCATGTGGTGGAGTAGATGGGCGCAGCTCTGTCCAGCACAGCTGTCGTTGGTGTCCCTCGTTGTTTTGATATGTTGTCTCTGCTCTAGATTTCAGTCTGTGGACGGCTAACTTGGCCATAGGTGTGAACGGTTGTTGGTCCGCGTGTCCGGGTGACACAGTGTGTGGGTGCACGCCGCCTCGCGCCCTCCGGTCGCTGGGAAGTGGAATTATTTGCAGATTTGTATTTGAATCACAAAATTATTGTAAAGGTTTGAGATGAAAATGTTTATTTTAATTTAATTACAGCTGAAAATGTATGAAGCCATTTCAAAATATTATTGTTTTAAAAGCTTTGTTATTTTTTATTTTATGATATTGTTTTATTTTTCATTTCCTGTATGTATTTACAGTAACATACTGCTATTTATGGTTTATTTTAGATTTCAATATTTTTGATGGCTTCCTTAATGAGTTTGATGTTTTTTTCATTATAAATATTTTATTATTGCTTTCCTCCTGTGCGCAGCTTTAAGCTATGACTTTGTAATACACATGTATTTATTTTGAATCACTGTATTTGCTTTCGTATATTTTTCTTTCTTGTGGCATCAAAAGAGCAGAGAAAAGTTCGTCTCAGAAACAACAAACTGTCTGCGTACCCGGTCTCTGTCTCGTGGCTGTCAGTGATTTATCCTCCGAGTCGCCACCGCCTGACAGAACACAGGAAACAATCAGAGAGGAACCTCCGAAGAAGAAGAAAATAAAGGAGCAGCTGTCGGTGTTACCTGGCTGGACATCAGACACCTGCTGCAGTTCATCTGCTGGAAAATTGTGAATATGTTGAGAAGAGAAAATGTCATCTGAAGGAAAAACAACTGGATGAGTCTTCCTTACCCTCCTCGTCTTCCTCATCCTCCTTACACGCATTGCCTTGTTCAGCCTCCTCATTTCCAACAGATATTTGCCCCCCACATTCTTCCTCCTCCTCATCTTTAAAACCAAAAACACCACAGAGTTCATGACAGGGACTGGCCTGAGACCAGGACGTACTGTTTGTTCTCCATACCTGCTGACCGCTCTGTGCGTGGCGTGGAGATGAGCGGTTTGTCACCCGTTTCCTCGTCGTCTGCAGAGAAATGCAGATTCAGGTTTGAGTTTTTCTAAAGCGATAGCGCTCCTTCAGTAATAGGCACAGCAGTGTGATTTGGTGATATGATTAATTTCACCGATGATGTTCATTTGTTTGAATGAACTCTACATATTGGATCTCAGTGGGTCAGCATGAATGAACGTGAGTGTATTTGAATACATAGTGTCTGACACGCCTGACGGCTGTCAGTACCTGATCGACCGTCTGCAGCAGACGTTGCGCTCACAGCTGTCGCAGTGCTAGTAGAGGTCATATCATCTGTTATGCTGTGGGCTGCTTGGATGCTCTCGGTAGCTTTGGCTTTCAGAAATGATCTGCACACAGAAGCACACTGAGCGATACTTTACTTCTGTTTATTCTTTTTTCTCTCGTCCAGTAATGCTGCCTAAATTTCACTCTTACCCACTGTGGCATGACCCGGCCACAGAGTTACACACTGACACACTTTCCTGCAGGGACGTGCAGAGGGGGGGGCTAGAGGGGCTTGAGCACCCGCCCCTTTCCTGATGAGTGCCCAAAGTGCCCTTTTGTTGAGGCAACTTTTAATTTTTTTTT